ATTGTAATTTTGATGACAAAAATGAAAGTTCGAGCATCACATATGGGTATCTGACCAGGAACTACTGTCGTAGAGCAGCATAAATGGTGATCATACTCCATCAACGCTGGGGATGCCTCTCCACTTCTTTTGCTTTGTGTGTCTTTTTTGAATTGCTGGACCCCTTTTCGTTGTGGGTTTTCCGATTGAACATGAACCATCATAAACCAATCACTTGGACGATTCTGGAGCTGTCCATTTTGGCAAACACCTCCTATCTTTTGCTCAACGTTGCTCATGGGCATGGGGAGTTCCAGATCTGGTTTCAACAAGCTCATTGATAATCCTGTTACAAGGGCCTCACAGAAAGTTCTTAAGCTATATAACTCATACAACTCATACAACTCATATAACTCATATAACTCATATATAACTCCCGAATCAGCCCATCGAAGTAGGTGACATTACATCGGTTGATCACTTTGGGACCATCCCAGTTCTCGTATCCGAGGAGCGATTTCTTCGACATGTTTTTTTCGCCGCAAGGCGAAACTTCAAAGGAGAGATGGCAAAATTTGACATGTTTTTTTTCTTACTGCAAACGTCTAGTCATGTCTAGTCACTATAGTCCAAGAGTTGGGTTGTATTAAGTTGTTTTACACTTTCATATAGTGACAAGCTCTCAAGATCCCACTTTGTGAATCGCTTGTGGAAACTGGTCACGGAGTTTAACTGCAAGTGAAGTGGCTGCAACCGACTGTGTGGAATGAGAGTGTGGACTTGGTCTAGGGATACAATAGGGATACTAGGCTACTAGGGATATGATAGGGATGTAATAGGCATGTATCGCACTATGGAATTAGATGTTCTGTTTGGCTGTATGGTTTTTGTTCAAGCTGAAATCCTGAGCGGCGACATTTGGCTTTGGTAACTTTGCGACCTGACCTTTTTTAGGGAGTGATGATGGGTTCTCTACCCCGCCCGAAGTAATCTGACGAGTTTATGCATGTACCTGGGGGTACCCAACAATTGGTTTTACCCTCTGGTTATTTAACATAGCCATGGAAAATGGCCCATTTATAGATGGTTTACCATGGTTTACCTATTATTACCATGGTTTACCTATTAAAAAATGGTGATTTTCCATGGCTATGTTAAATAACCAGAGGGTAGTACTAAACATAACCAACGTGCAACCAACATGTCCGGATCCCACTAGTCACATTTCTTTGATGTGAACCAACGTCTGGAAAAGGGCGTCCGGATCCACGTTGATACTGGGATGATCCAGCTCAAGATGATCATTTATATTACCCTCTGGTAAACATACAAAAAGCTATTGAAAATGGCCCATTTATAGTGGATTTACCTATTAAAAATGGTGATTTTCCATTGTTATGTTAGTTTACCAGAGGGTATCTTATATTAAACTGGTTGGTGGTATACCTACCCCTCTGAAAAATATGAAAGTCAGTTGGGATGTTTATTCCCAATATATGGAAAAATAACAAATGTTCCAAACCACCAACCAGTAAATCATTTATTTCCGCAAGCATCACTTATTAGGTCACTCCATGATGTCTCTGCCAAACTAACTGGACTCCATTTTCAGTTCTCAGAAGTAAACAGCCCTTGTCTCAAACGTGGCATGGGCTGACAACATAGCTACAATGATAGGTGATAATGATCATAAACAAATCACTAACATGGACTTCAATTTGACTTCAATCCAATAAAACATGATGGTATCACAGTTCTTTCATATTCTTTCACCTGGGGCGGTTAGTTGGCAGCTCCGGAGGTCAGTGGATCCCACTATACCTTGGATTACGAAGAACTGAACAATCTGTGGCAAATCAATGTGTCATCTAGTCCCGTTGTTGAACAAATATCCTCTAGTTTTCAATGGCTGAAAGTCCATATCTTAATGTTTAAATTTGAGGTTTCGATGGTTACCATCTGAGATTTTCTGTTATAGTTGGATATTTTTTGTTTTTCAAATTGCAATTCCTTTTGGTTAAACCGATATGTTTCTTGGACTAACCACTCCATGTTCAGTTGTTTGCTTGGATCAAAGTCAAGTTTCCATGGCTGAACCCAATTTTGGGGACACTCTCCTTATTTAGATAGTGATACAGTATACTGGTATATCTGTGCTATGTGTATACATATATATATATATAACAAATATATAATTATATATATATATGTTATTGGTGTGTCTGAAAATGGGATCGACAATATTCCCAGGATTCCCAAAATTCCCAGCACCTGCGGCGCTCGCTGCGTCACCGGCATCGGCTGCATTGGTGCGACACGCAGCGGCGAGGGTGAGGGTTGAGGCGCCTGAGGCACCTCGCGAGCTGGCAGCTGATAAGGCTGTTTTTCATGGGGAGACCAAGCAAACGGATTGACCAAGATGGGATAGATCGAGAGATTGTAGTTATATGATATATGAAGTAGTCAAAACTTGGCATTTTATCATCAAATTTGGGGATTGATTTCAACAAACGAGAGAATATGAGAGATATATTATCAACCAGAAGCAAGAACATAGATATGAGGTCATTTTGTGGATAATGGAGATGAATCCAAACATAAACAGCCAACTATCTCCATTTCCAGTAGTTAATATCAACAAATTTGATCCCCAGATCTGATCACAAAACTCAACGCCTTCCAGGTGTCCCACGCCGTCCGCGCTCCGCGGTCCATTTTCGTCCGCGGTCAAACCAAATGGAAGTAGTCGACACCTTCTTGGGCGTCCTAGCGTCCGCGATATATTCTGCATCACATCATTCATAGAATTGGATGATGGGAAAATTTACAGGAAAAACCTATATTTGATGGTAAAAACCATGGTTTCCTATAAATTTTCCCTTCAACCAATCCAGTGAATCATGGTCAACCCCTGGGATTCATGGGACATGGTGATCCAATAGTTCCAAGCTGGAATCCCTATGGATTGATGCGCGATGACCATGATGATGACCATCTTCCAACATGACTGAAGCTGTGATCATGGCCATGGATTTCTGAGTTGAAGGCATCACGAAAATCAGCAAATCTAATGCAAATCTTTCATAATCTTTCCCATCTAACAGGAAAAATTGCAGCAATCCGAACATACAAAAATCATCTGCAACTAGATCATCCTGAATCTTGGGGGTTCCAACTACAGGATCCAAAATGCTCTAGCTATAGCAAAAAAAACCGAATTTGACAAATGAATACAACACCCATTGATCCCATAAAATATACCAAATGGTTAGGGGTGTTGGGTGCTCCAAGAATCCCCAACAGTTTAGTATCTCCCATTGTCTAGCCAGTATTGTTATCCCATTTGTTGGTCATTACTACATCATTATACAGATGGTTATATATCAGTTTGTTGCTTTAACAGTTACTATAAATTAGTTTCATATTCAATAGGTTCTACCATTAAATCTACATAAAGGTACATAGTGTGTCTCATCACAACATTTATCATTTTTAAACCCGATTATATTCCCAATTCAATAGGTACATGTACCTTGTACCCAGCTTATAACCTAAGTAACTGTAGGATACTGTAGGTATACCTTGCATTAATGCCCTATAGTTTTGGTATACATATAGGTTAAGCCTAAGTACACAGGTATACAATCCCCCACTGTGTAGCCATTATGGCTATCAAATTAGTTCGTGGTTGCTATATCCAATTGGATTTGCTAGTTCTGAACATAGGCTACCCTATTCCATCCATTGGTTAATCGTCATTATCCCTACTTAAACAACAATTTTGGGGGTGTAACCAATTTTCAGACACACTCGAATAGTTAGGGTTCGATATATATATATAATATATATATATATTCTATTTTACATTCCCAGTCTATCCCTATGAAATCCCATGAAATCCCAATGCTGATGGCGTATAGTATATATTCTACGGATTTCATGACTTTGACCTTTCATACCTATATATATATACTATTTCAACTTTTCAACATCCCATTTATATATATATATATATATACCAAGATATAAAAAAATAGTAAATGACATATTTCAACATCCCATTTATCTCTATATATATATATATCCTATGAAATAAAGGCGATTTATATCCAATGAATTCTGCTTTTCTCTCCATTCATCCCTTGCTGCGGCGGTCCGGCTGATCCCTTCGGATCGCTTCCAGGACTTCATAGCCTCGCTCCAAGGCCACGCAGACCACCTGCGGCGCGACTTTTCAACGAGCAACGTTCGGAACGCTGGAAGTGACGACGAACGTGGGATATGGGTGGGAAATGTGGTTGAAACAATGGTGGTTAACAGTGGTTAATGGTGGTTAATAGTGGTTAATAGTGGTTAATAGTGGTTAATAGTGGTTAATAGTGATTAATAGTGGTTAATAGTGGTTAATAGTGGTTAATAGTGGTTAATAGTGGCTAATAGTGGTGAATAGTGGTTAATAGTGATTAATAAACCAAATAACAATTGGATATGACATAATATGGGTAAAACAATGCCATTGGCACCACCCATGACTGGGCATGGTTTATACATACCACCCAAAAAAAAAATGGTGATGACTGGGGGATGATTTATGACATTGTTTTAACCACATTATACCCAAGATATAGATATTCAGAGGAGTTATGGTGCAGTATAGCCCTGATTGTATCCGGAAGAATTCAACATGGGGATTCCACCATGACCATATATGATGTGGATAAATGCACTGGAAAACATTGGACTCTTCAGCAGGATACTTAGTACATCTGGCTAAATTATAAAAAATCACTAGCCTGAAAGTAGCTGAAATAAGCCAAATTTTCAAAAAATGCAATGATTCCCCTTGCTAACCATCATGCCAGTAAAGTCACAGCGAGATATAGCGAAATGTATGTCATCAACCTATTAGAAACTTTCTGCTATCTACAGCCGGAGCTCAACAAATCCCTTGACATGGACCCCTTCAATTGATTGGTGTCGTTCCTTATGTTCCTTTACTGGTTGGTGGTTGAGCCTACCCCTCTGAAAAATCATGGAGTGAAAGTCAGTTGGGATGATGACATTCCCAACTGAATGGAAAAATCAAAGTCATGTTCCAAACCACCAACCAGATTGGTGTCGTTCCTTTAAATAACATTAACCACTCATCCATCAACAGCATCGCATATCTGGTTGGGTCATCCCAGACAAAGTGAAGCTGGTGCCCCCCCAGCAACATGGTCCTTCGTCTATATCTCCTCACTCAATGTAGATACTGTAGAAAACTATATCTCTACCATAAAGCCAACATGTTTTGGAGGTACCATAAATCAACTATAAATCCCCATGAAATGGTTTGATTCAATCCTGAAATGGTGGATGAAATCCTTCGCTTGGTGAAAGCCTCATTTTACAAGCCACCTTGCCTTCCCCCGAGAAATGGCTGACATATCTGTCCTTGCCAAGCAACGAAGGGCAGCTGCAGCTGGGACTGCTCCACGATGGGAACCTCTGGGACTTGAACCGCGGAACCATCAGAAGTTGGGTCATACTGTGGATGGAAGGAATCCTGCACCAGTGGATAGGCGTTTTATCCCATTGTTGAAAGGAGTCTGAACCATGGTGGTGCAGGATTTCTGAAAAATCCACAATATGATAGATACATCATGGGAATCTGCTGCGAACAATCTTATCATATCATGTTTTTTTGCTAAGAAACCCTGATTCTGGGGTGTGTCTGAAAAAATGCTTTAAAAAAACCTATACCCCCACGGTGGTCACCTTTTTTCAGACATGTGAATTGATGATGAACCAGTGGATTTTGAGGTGTAAATTTCTGGATGGGCACAGTACTAACACTCAAATTTGGGTTAAAACATGCCAGTAACGGGGTATACCCTATTTTGGGTTTTTTTGAATAAGGAAAATGAACTTTCAAGATTGTATATATATATATATATAATATTATATAAAATACATATAATGTATATATATAATGTGTATATATATATAATATTGTAATACACCAACAGATTGGTGGGTACACACCTAAACAGTGATCATCCTGATGGTGACCGTTTTTCGAGGATCTCCTTGGAGATCTCACCAAGAGACTGCCATTCGTGGGATGAACTCATGGGTAATTGCAATAAATATCAATAAATAATTGAGAGTATTATTGATAACCATCAGTCACTACTATTGATAATCATCCCGGCGGATGGGAAACCGCGCGAGCGTTTTGATTGTTTGCTTCCAGGAGAGTCACAGTCACCTGTAATTTACAATATAAAATGCTCTTCCGAACTCTTTGGATAACTGAATTTTGGTTAAAAAAAGTGGATGCCTATTGATTCTTGACAAATCCAGGTAAACATCATGTGCATCAGACGTGGATGCTCAGATTTTTTTTAACACTCTTCGTCGGCTCAGAAAACCTATGCATCACTACCGCACCCAAACCCATACGCAGCGTAGCAACATGTAACGTAGGAAACTATCTCAGAGATACCAGCAGCGTAGCAACATGTGTGCGACGGTCAAAACTCAATTCATGTGGTGAGGTCATGGCATCGCTTCATAAGGCCCCCTATCGCTACACACAGTCCCAGCACCCTTTTCACCAACTAGGCAGAATTGCTGCTAGAAGAGGAGGATCCAGATGAGGAATCGGATTCTTATTCCCCTTGCGATGGTATCTCCAGGGAAATTCAAACTTTTACTTGATCACCAAGGCTGACGTCGACAGCTTCAGCTAGACACCAGCCGGACTCACTGCAGGTCATCTGACCTCGGAGGCTGCCCTTGGCTTGTGTTGGCTTGTCTTGGCTTGTCTCGCCTGTGCTGCCTTGTTTCCGGCGCCTTTTTTTCTTCACCCCGCCTCCTTTGCAACCTAGTACCACGCCAAAATGAATCGGCAAAACCCTGACCAAATGAACCCTTTAAGAACTAACCCAGTAAGAACTTGAGGGTACCCTTGTTCATACTTCCCATATTTTTCCACCTATAGCACAAGTTGTATAGTTTCAAGTGACCATGTGGGGTACTCCCTAATTTCATGGATTTCAGGTATCGCTCTGGGTATCGAGGGGTATCGCTTCGGGCATTGCTACGGGGACCAGAAAATGTGTGATCTCAGGTGTATGTTTCAAGTGACACGAAATTCTGACAAGCTCCATGTTGCAATTCTACTCCTGGACAGTGGCTTTGGAGAAGCGTCCGTGACCGCACAAGGATGCTTTTTCAACATATCTCAGCACGGTCACTATCTGAATCAACATCATCACCATCACCATCATCATCAGCATCATCACCATCATCAAGCTCATGATGCGTTATGAATTAGTTTCTTGCATACCTTATAGATCAACATACCCCAATATATCAATATTGTTTAATGTAACTATCTCATATATACTTGACGACAGGCCATCTTGCAACTACCCAGGAAGACCAGCCCACTGCGACTGCTCCAGTGTCGCACTCTGACATCAAAAGATTGGAAAGTCATGCGCCCAACAGGAAGCTTCAATCATAAACAAAGTCTAAAAAGAGGTATCGCTACATAAGGCCCCCTATCGCTACACACAGTAAATCACATATTTTGAGTAGTGATGGCGGATCGTAATTGAAGCCTTTCATAGCGTCTTTTGACCCTTGCTCATGTCACGTAGTAAGCGATCCCAGAGATCTTAGCAACATGGCAATATATCATGTACGAAGTACAAGGAACGTTAACATGCCCCCCCACCCCACCCCACCCCACCCCCAAGACAAAGAGCAATACTCAAAAAAGAAGCAAAACGCACGTACGGTTTTCCAGCCGTAGGCATAATCATGATAAACATTATATCAATAATATCAATAACCATCAACCAGCCATATGATGCGATATCATGATATCAGTAGTGGCTGGTTGATGGGAGCCAAGTCATCCCATCATCCCAAAATGGGCGTTTCAATGCGTTTCATCATTGATTGGATTGGTAAAAAAGGGAAAATTTACAGGAAACCATCGATTTTCCCAGTAAATATGAGGCTTTCCTGTAGATTTTCCCTTAAACCAATCCATTGAAGCATGTCTCATGAAAAATCACGACTTGAGACTTCCCACATATCTACGGTAGTTGGGGACTGTCATCTTGCTGTATGGCTTGGCACTGGACCCCTGTTGAGAAGGGTCCCAAAGGTAAAACATGTACGTATGGGTATAGAAGCAACCCACCATGTCACCGTTACTGATGGTCAGCGACATCACCCCTACAGGCCTCATGTGGCGCTTGCCCTTCCATAGGGAAGCTGATGCTTTTGCCAATCTTCTTTGGATCGACCTGGTGGCAATGGTAACGAGTTGAGATTAGAGGAAGGTGATTTTGGGATGTTATGGGATTATATAATGTATGGTCATATGATATATGGGGATTGTACTAGTTTCTGAACTGAACAACAACATTTTTAGGGAGTGCACCCCCTGATTTTTGGTTGGTGAGTTCTCCCCTTTAACTTGCTGAAATCCAAATCTATATCACAGTAGGTGAAAACCACAAAAAAATCGCTGGTGCCAATTGTAGAATTGGGGTTCTTTCTTCGCGTTTTGGTTGGTTGTGATGATTTTGTTCGTGCTCCTGGTTTTGGCTGGTTCAATTTGCTGGCCTAGCTGTGCTGTCCGGTTGATACCTGGGACAACTAATCCTACCTTCTAATTAGTTAATGCCAACCCCGGATGAATCAGCCCTTGGTTTGACTCGCGGGGTCCCGCTTTTGCAACATGATCGCTTTTTCCGGCACCACGTACATCTGCATCTATCGCATATTCATTAATGCTTGAATGATGATTAACCAACCATACATATATATATATACATATGTTTATATATGTATATCTAATATAGTCATGAATTATTGATCACTATTGGCCACTAATTGGTTCGGATAAACTAAGTGTTTGCAAACATTCACAACTATAAGGGTACAAACACCCAAAATGATAGAACATACGACATGATCACTATATGTTTGGGATTGAAGTTTTGGAAAATTCTATTCTGGGAGCTGCCCTGTACAATTGGCAAATCATTGGATAACACCTGTACAAACCGATTGGTGAACCGCAGCCCTGCTTTTCGGCCTCGTAGAAGGCGCGGACCAGGCGCAACTTTTCGGGGGACAACACCTGACGTTTTTGGGTGTATTTTGGACCTAAGTTTGGGCACTTCGGAGAAGGAAATACATTCTTTCTTAACCGACAAAAATGTGGATTGAACCGCTCAGAGCATGCCTTTGTGACTTTGTGGCGTTTGGGAACAGAAAAACTGTGATTTTAAAAGGGATTTAACTGGCATACAGAGGGGACTTGAGAATAACTCATAGGATCAAACATCATAATTTTACCCTCACATATTTAATTTAACAAATGAGATTGTGGTTTATAAAGTAGAAGCAAGAAAAGGGGTTGCAACCGCGTATGCCCCAACACACTGCCCATCAAGGTCCAATGAGTTTCGCTCATCTTCAACGTTTCCCAAAAGTCTTTCCTAAACTTGTCCATCTGGGGATGGGTGAACACCTATTATTATTATCATCATCATCATCATCCTATTTTGGGGAATAAACTTGATAAATTAATCCCATCCAGAAACCATATATTAAACATGATGAAAAACCATCAACATCCAGGATACCATCAACATCCATCAGCCGCATAAACCCAGGATTTCGACCCATCCACCGCCACAGTGGCCCCCCGGCCCCCCGGCCTTGCAGAAGTCTCGCGCATCGCGGCCAGCGCCCAGCACCCCGAAGCCTTCGCACCAGGCGCTGGCGGCGCTGGCGTCAGCGTCGAGGACTTGACGCTCGAAGGCGGCCACCTTCGCTGGGGCACCGACCATGGGACCGGGGATATAACCTGGGCATAACATGGGGAGATAAGTTACCATAACACATATATGGTATGGTATACCCTCTGGTAAACTAACATAACTATGGAAAATCACCATTTTTCAATGGGAAAACTCACTATAAATGGGCCATTTTCAATAGCTATGTAACAAATTATCAGAGGGTATACCTCAATGAACCCCCAATTACTAGCAGCTCGAATCCCCAATTACTGGCATTTCCATGAACTCTAGCTGATCCTCGATACCCGCTGGACAGTTGACTTTTAGCCAAGTTTTCCAAACAATATACAACCATTGACCACTTGATTTATCACTCAATACCACCCCCATAATGTCGCTGAAGTATCCTAAGCCTCCAACCTGAGATAAGGTGATTTGGAAAGGATCCCTTCACTTTGCTCTTAATTCGCCCTAGTTCTTGGATTTGGTTGAGAGGGCCATAAACAATATTCCTATTAGACTACCCAAATGGATCCAAATGGTGGATTAAGCATTGGGAAAATGTACCCATTGAACTCGTGAACACCAATCTTGCCCAGATTGCATCAGGGGTCGGCAAGTCTTCCCCATTACCTGATTAATTGTCAATAACTAACATTAACTAACTATCCTGGCCAATCAATCCCATCACACTCACACTAGACACTCCTACAGTAAATGGTCCCAGATATGTGCAGATCCGCTACTGAACCAATGGGTTTCTGGAGGGTGTTTAATATTAGGTAAAGGGATTTAAAACTACAACCCAACAAAAACAACACATATGGCTATGGGCTATGGGTCAAAAAATTATATAAATTATATTAATGTCCGCCGACAATGTAAGCCTAAAATTGGAGGATCATATGATCATACAAAAAATGAACAGAATCTGTGATCCACTCCCAGTCCCATATGAATTCCCCTTCAGCACAGCCCGAACCTTCGCATTCTGCACCTGCCGCCGTGGCAGGCGCCAGCTTCGCTGTCCCGGGTGGCAGCGGTAGCGCAGCAAGGGCTCGCGCACCCTGGTGCCATGGCCAGGGGGAGATGGCACACCTATAGAAAATTGGGATTGCACCTATGGAAAGAAAATTGGGGTTGAACCTATACAAAAAGTGGATAAGTGGGATCTAAGCTGTAGAAATTGGGATTTGAGCTCTAGACAGGTGGAACTTATTCAACAAGAAGTGCAATGGGAGCTGAATGGAGTTGAACATGTGGATGCAACCGGCGAACAAAATATGCATTTTCCAAACATGAATATGTTTAATCAAAAAATGCAACTAAACGCTTCTTTTTGTAATCTGGATTCAAACAACAAAAACAAGTTGTTTTAAAGAAACTTCGGGATGAAACCAGTGAAACATGCAACACATTTAACACAACATTGGGTTTGGTGGAGAAAGATGAACAGTTCTTGAGTAAAATGTGGGGATCTAGGCGAGTGGCGTTGGGAGTTCAGTTAACATGTCGTCAACCGGCCAAAAAGTGGGATTCAACTTGCAGAACATTTCAAGCCATCAACATTAGGATTTTAACCCATAGAAGTCAAAAATACACCAGCCAGTAGCTCATGGAACCTACATCTATTACTTTCCACTATGAAAATCTATGAAATCAAGGGTACATCATAACTTATGTGCTATTATAGTGAAATAATCTCGCCTATTTAATGCCACTCAACTGCCACCCATGTCGTACTGATTTTTGTAGCTTGAATCTTATTCATGTTTTTTTGCTGGAGGGGTCTGTCTGAACAATCTGAACACGTGGGATCCCTCGAAATGGGAAATTTTCCACGGGGAACATGGTGACTAAGCATCAACATTTAGCGGCACCCCTATTCTCAGACATCCCCAAACATGTGCAGATTTTTTTCGGCGTTTTGATGAGAGAATCGTCTACCATTTTAGACTGGTCACCATAGTAGAACAAACTCAACCATGTCCAAGCTGGTGTCACTTGTCCAAGATGTTACTGACTGTAAATTATATTTGCCTCATCATTTGAAACGTAACTTTTCGATCCATTTTTGGGTCGGTATTGAACCCACAAAGAAACTACACACATAAATTAATTGAAATTAATTATGACTGGTGGGAATTTACTTTTATCTTTTCGGGATGTGCTATCAATTTCCGTTCGTTTGGTGCGAACGGAACCGAACCAGTCTCCCAGTCAGCATGGCACCTGCGCAGCAAGCCGCCTGTCTCCAGGTGTTTGTGGAAGAAGACAATGTCTTCCTGCCAGTGGTTTCTGGATGTGGGAAAAAATCCCAGGGATTTATCATGATTTACCACAACATATGTTAGGGATTTTTCAGGTGATAAAAACGCCATCAACATTGGGAAATATATACCATGAGTCCCTTGCAGGCAACTGCGAAGCGCCATCCACATGCAGTCCCTTGAGCCCATGTTTCTTGCCAACCAACCTCTCTGACGACGAGAAAATCGTCATCACCGCTATGATATCATATCACTAAATGTTTCTTGTAATTAATTTCATCATGTCATCATAATCAGAATTACTATTTTTAACTTCATAACATATTCATAACATGAACATTAAAATCAACATTGTATGATAAATAATTCATAGTTAACACGCTAACCTAACATAAAGGACAACCATTTTTCATTGACGATTCGATAAATCACCGAGCCACACCAACAGAGGTGTCTTCAGTGTAACCTCCCACGCGTTCCTGGGTCGTGCCAAAACATGTTGAAAAACAACATGTTGAATTGCTTGTTGGATTTAAAACACTATTCTACATAAACAATAACAAATATAGCATAATAAAGCTAAACATGGCCAGAAATCAATCTATCGACTTCATCATACATCATTCACAAAAGTTTGTCATGCTTACCCAGATAATCCCAGATACTTGGCCTTGATTTCTAGTTCATCTAGGCAACCTGAAGACTCCAGCAGGTGTGCTATGGCTGCTATGGTCTTCCTCTTTCAATCAAAACAATCGGCCGTCGTTGTGCCTGGTTCATCCTGGTTTGCTGCTCTGGAAGATACATTGTGATAATTTTTGGATAATGGTTTGTCTGAGATGAATCTTAAATTGGTCTTGACAAATCGTCCAAAGACATAACCTTACACATAGAATGATCATGAACAACAGGTGCTAAATAGGATAGACTATAATTAGACTATAACCATCTATAACCAAAAAAAATGGTTATAACCAAATATTGGCCCCTTTTGTGAATTTTACTTTCACCTCACCAAACTGTAGCTGTCACTTTCATATCATGGGATGATGGGGGATAACGGGGATCTTTAACTGGTGATTTCCCATATGCAACCGGCATTTGAACAAAAAAATGGATAGTAGTTGTAATGATTGTTAAAATGGCTAATACTTAACGGTCAACAATTTTTCTATGGTTAGTAACCATGAAATTCACCAATGATTATGGCCTTCTTTTTTTGTAGTGACCATAAGTGGGCACCTTCAGAAACCTGGCCGCGGCAACACGTGTCGCGGTGCCCAGGTGCCCAGATCTTGCGATGATACATCCAGGTGGGATGCAACAGGGTGACTTCCCGGAAACGTTGGGCCATCCTGGGAGGCCATGGGGTGCAAAAAAAAAGGTGCCGCACAAAAAAACATTTTTTGGAATATACATATACGTAGTTATAGGTGTGCATATATATATATACACATATACATAATATATATATATGGATATGTTTATGTATGTATATATATATATATATTATATACATATATTCTATATACATATACATATGCATATACATACATTCTATATACATATACATATACATATACATATACATATACATATACAAAACACACACAGATATATATATATATATGTATACTGTATATATATATATATACACATACATACATTAGTGGATCCCAATTGATATGGACTGTCCTTTTTTAAAGCTATTTTAATGATTATTAATGACCAAAAAGTTGTTTTGCAACTACAACCTAAAGTTGGATGAACTACGATCGGGACTTGTGCTTTGGTTATTCAAAGTCTGGGGATCTCGGAGTAATGTTGGACGCCGATTAGTGTCCTGGTACCCTATATATTGATTTGTGTTTTTTTTTTTTAACAAAATCAGTATCCTGCCAGTTGTGTGGCGTGGGCCTCTATTGTCAGAAGTTTTTTCTCAGATCTATTTTTTCAGGAGGAGCTTTATCCACCTTTATACACCTTTCTTTGGGTAAAGCTGATCCGTTTACTTTAGAAAACCATATCCATGTTAAAGCCTTGAAAATGCACGGTTTCCCAAATAATTGGATGCCTTATTAAATCCTTATTCAAAAACAGCACCCAAACAATTTTTCAAGAGGGCACCCCATGAGTGACCAAGATCCTCAATAATGTAACTGTTTGGATGATATTCTGCACAAAAACTTTTGGGGTGATTGTTTTTCAGAGTTAAAGAAAAATCAACTGAAAGTAGTTTCACATGAATTGGAAGAAAATTTGAGTTCAATTGAAATCCTTGCTTATCAATAGATGTCTTTGAGGTTTAAAAGAAAAATCAATTGAAAATAGATTCAAATGAATTGAAAGTAAATTGAGTTCAACTGAAATCCTTTCTTATCAATAGATGTCTTTGATGTTTAAAAGGAAAATCAATTTAAAGTAGATTCAAATGAATTGAAAGTAAATTAAGTTAAACTAAAATCCTTTCTTATCAATAGACTTCTTTGATGTTTAAAAGGAACATCAATTGAACGTAGATTCAACTGAATTGAAAGTAAATTGATTTCAAGTGAAACCCTTTCCTATCAATAGATGTCTTTGACATTTAAAAGGAAAATCAATTGAAAGTAGATTCAACTGAATTGAAAGTAAATTGAGTTCAATTGAAATCCGTTCCTATCAATAGATGTCTTTGATGTTTAAAGGAGCATCAATTTAAAATAGATTCAAATGAACTGAAAGTAAACTGATTTCAATTGAAATCCTTTCTTATCAATAGATGTCTTTGAGGTTCAAAAGGAACATCAATTGAAAGTAGATTCAATTGAACTGAAAGTAAATTGATTTAAAGTGAAACCCTTTCCTATCAATAGATGTCTTTGACGTTTAAAAGGAAAATCAATTGAAAGTAGATTCAACTGAATTGAAAGTAAATTGAGTTCAATTGAAATCCGTTCCTATCAATAGATGTCTTTGATGTTTAAAAGAGCATCAATTGAAAGTAAATTCAAGTGAATTGAAAGTAACATGATTTCAATTGAAATCCTTTCTTATCAATAGATGTCTTTGACGTTTAAAAGAGCATCAATTGAAAGTAGATTCAAGTGAATTGAAAGTAACATGATTTCAATTGAAATCCTTTCTTATCAATAGATGTCTTTGACGTTTAAAAGAGCATCAATTGAAAGTAGATTCAAGTGAATTGAAAGTAACATGATTTCTTTGAGGTTCAAAAGGAACATCAATTGAAAGTAGATTCAACTGAATTGAAAGTAAATTGATTTCAACTGAATTCCTTTCCTATTTTCCTATCAATAGATTTCTTTGAGGTTCAAAAGGAACATCAATTGAAAGTAGATTCAACTGAATTGAAAGTAAATTGATTTCAACTGAATTCCTTTCCTATTTTCCTATCAATAGATTTCTTTGAGGTTCAAAAGGAACATCAATTGAAAGTAGATTCAACTGAATTGAAAGTAAATTGATTTCAACTGAATTCCTTTCCTATTTTCCTTTCATTAGATTTCTTTGAGGTTCAAAAGGAACATCAATTGAAAATAGATTCAACTGAATTGAAAGTAAATTGATTTCAACTGAATTCCTTTCCTATTTTCCTATCAATAGATTTCTTTGAGGTTCAAAAGGAACATCAATTGAAAGTAGATTCAACTGAATTGAAAGTAAATTGATTTCAACTAAATTCCTTTCCTATTTTCCTATCAATAGATTTCTTTGAGGTTCAAAAGGAACATCAATTGAAAGTAGATTCAACTGAATTGAAAGTAAATTGATTTCAACTGAATTCCTTTCCTATTTTCCTATCAATAGATTTCTTTGAGGTTCAAAAGGAACATCAATTGAAAGTAGATTCAACTGAATTGAAAGTAAATTGATTTCAACTGAATTCCTTTCCTATTTTCCTATCAATAGATTTCTTTGAGGTTCAAAAGGAACATCAATTGAAAGTAGATTCAACTGAATTGAAAGTAAATTGATTTCAACTGAATTCCTTTCCTATTTTCCTATCAATAGATTTCTTTGAGGTTCAAAAGGAACATCAATTGAAAGTAGATTCAACTGAATTGAAAGTAAATTGATTTCAACTGAATTCCTTTCCTATTTTCCTATCAATAGATTTCTTTGAGGTTCAAAAGGAACATCAATTGAAAGTAGATTCAACTGAATTGAAAGTAAATTGATTTCAACTGAATTCCTTTCCTATTTTCCTTTCATTAGATTTCTTTGAGGTTCAAAAGGAACATCAATTGAAAATAGATTCAACTGAATTGAAAGTAAATTGATTTCAACTGAATTCCTTTCCTATTTTCCTATCAATAGATTTCTTTGAGGTTCAAAAGGAACATCAATTGAAAGTAGATTCAACTGAATTGAACGTAAATTGATTTCAATTGAAATCCTTTGCTATCAATAGATCTCTTTGAGGTTCAAAAGGAACATCAATTGAAAGTAGATTCAACAGAATTGAAAGTAAATTGATTTCAATTGAATTCCTTTCCTATTTTCCTATCAATAGAATTCTTTGAGGTTCAAAAGGAACATCAATTGAAAGTAGATGGATTTCAATTGAAACCCTTACTTAAGTTGATCATCCTGAGTCCCCCAGACCTGGTCGCCAAAGAAAGTGGCGAGTTATTGAGAGTACTAAATTTGTTTGAGGGGGGGTCCCTCTGCACTAATCAGCATCCAACATTTTAAACAAAAAAAAACATTGGATTAAAAAAGGACCCCCCACACCCCACACCCCGGAAGAGTACCCAACTTGACATTCTTGTAAGAGAGTTTTGGAGATTCAGCGTTCAGACCTGTTCCGACTGTTCACCCATCACACGTGAATGATAGAGAAGTGGGGGATACGGTATTCTTCACTAATTAGGTGGTTGTTGCTGGGGCGCGTGGGCACTGTTCCTGGGATTCAGAGCGGTTTCAGACCCTTGATTTTGCTCAAATAGACTCTTGACCAACTGGAAAATTAGAAGCCAGTGGAGGCTAGTTCACTCCCTTCGGTTTTGGCATTTTTCCCCTTGATGATGCAAAACAAGGAACGCGCCATCAAGGAAAAAAAAAGAAACAACGGGAGTCTGATTTTTGGGGCCGGGGGTGTCTTTTGAGCCAGTTTCATCCACAGAATCGAAGCTGTGGTTCCAAGCTGTGGTCGCAGCCAACTTTTGTTTGCTCCCTCCGTTTGGAACTCAACCATTTGTCGCAGGGAGAGGTAAGAGTGATACAGAAGAAAGTGAGGCTCAGGCCTCTCCAATGGTGCTTTCGAATTTTTGTTGGCCTGTTTCAGGCCTGTTTCAGGCCTGTTTCAGACCTGTTTCAGACCTTTGGATATTTATACATACATACAGTCAGATTGGGCTATTGACCAGCTCATAACTGGTAGGCCTCTTGCTCAGCTCAACAAGATTCCATTCGGCGAGTATCAACTGATGCTCCGTCATCTCGTTCAACCACTGGGTATAGCGTGGTGTGGCGTCCTGCACCGCATGTGACCTAACGAAGGAGGCTTACTCAGTGAAGAATTGGTATTGCAACCCCCAAAAAGAATCAAACAAATAGAATAGAAAAAGTAAACTAAGTAAACTTCTACTAAATGTACTAAATAGTGATGGATATATAATCGTTCATCTTTGGAGGTTACTGTAAGATCTGTAAGGAATGGTAACTATCTATTCCGAAAAATCAGTTTGGTTAACATCAAGAACAACAGCCAATTACAACAACAAAAACATGTTTGTCTTTTTAGCGGCCGCTTCTTAGATAATATAAAAAATCCTATCAAATCCGATTCTGCAGAGGAACATCTACCCTCTGGTAAACTAACATAACTATGGAAAATCACAATTTTTAATGGGAAAATCCACTATAAATAGCCATTTTCAATAGCTATGTTAAATTACCAGAGGGTAACATGATTGGTGAATATTGGTATCCCAATGTGAATATCCCAGCGTCATGGCCACAATCATAGATACCATTTTTCAATCACGTTTCGTATCAGGTTGTACTGACCCATCCAGTTTCCCCTCTCGGCCAAATCCCTTATTTTGATCAGTTCCTTTCAACTGTTTTTGTTTTTTCTAAGATTATACTTCATAAAATCTCCGACATCAACATCATTTTTACTGTAAGTTTATAAGATTTTGTAACTATCATTAAGTATCCAACTTAGCTTTTCCCCAAAGGTAAATGATAAAGATTGTTGTTGCTTTCAGATTTTTTCTCCCGCCCCACCTGGGGCATCCGAAGAAAGCCACTGCCCACGATGGTCTTCTCCTGCTCCTCAGGTGGCCTCGGTGTCGCTGACGCGCGACTGCGGGGCTGTCATCCGGGGATGCCTACCTTGGCTTTATAGTTTACAGTAGATATATCAATGGTTGCTGATCAAACTGCAAACTATACATATATATATCAATGGTTAACTATATATATATATATAATGGTATGTATATATATATATATAGTTAATGGTCAAAGTATGGTTTAGACATGTTGAGAGTAGATATAATTCATAGTATTCTATAGTCAATGGATGATTTTTCATGATGTTTACAGGCCCCAACTGCTGGGGATACTCTGTTTGATACAATTAGGATGAGGGAATCGAAACACATCTGCTCCACTCCATGTAGACAAACAAGCAGCAAACAAAAATCCCTTGTAAAACAATGTTGTGTGTGAAAGACTTCTGTGTGACAATGTTTTGTGTGAGTTGTGTGTGACAATATTGTTGTGACAGAGGAGCGGCAGAGAGGAGGAGGAGAGGGAGGAGGAGGAGGAGGAGCGGCGGCTGGGTAACGAAAAAAAACACAAGAACTCCACACGCAATGATGTGGGGAAAAAATTGGTCAATCTTGGTTATATAGTTACGGTATAGTTATATTGGTTGTATCTAGAACTATCCTTTTCTGGTTGATAAAGCTCCATTTACATCTCCTGCAAGGTGAGTCCCCCGTAGGATTGCCAAAACGCCGCCATGCATGGATAAGATCAAGTTATTTCGAGTGTAAAGATGGTAGCCCCCCTTGTTAGTAAAGTGGTGTTTCACGAATTCACCCCAGTTTTAGTTTGTCAGTTCACTGAAAAAAAACAGTTACTCAATTAATTATAAACCTGCACCAAGTCTTCTTTTGTCCTAACTGGGATAAACTAAGCCACTTGGTGATGCCTCCAGTTACGTCGCTTTATTTCACTAGCTTAACAACGTTGGCTAACCGTGGGATCGCCGTATCAAACCCTGGAGTGGGTCCCTTAGAAATTCCTGGGCTACAGCTCCACCATTTAAGTATAACCACTTAACCATCCAGTCGCTAATACCCTCTGGTAAACTAACAAAAAGCTATGGAAAGATCCACCATTTTTCATGGGTAAATCCACTATTTCGACTGGGCCATTTTCAATAGCTATGTTAAATTACCAGAGGGTAATCCATATTATTGGTCCCCCAATTTCTGAACAAGAATGGTTCACTATAGTTATTGGTGATTAGTCCCCGAAGTAACTAATGACCAGCCGTGTCCCATTTTTTGACGGCACAGTTTGCCAATGTTTCATGGTTACCCAATAGCAGATGGTTTTCATGGGAAATCCATGAAAACAAATGTACCATCTGGTTATTTAACATAGCCATGGAAAGATCCACCATTTTTAAGTTCGGTAAACCATCTATTTAACTATGGGTCATTTTCATCCATTTTCCATGGCTATGTTAGTCATAGCCAGAGGGTAAACAAATCTAAAAATGGATGATCTCTCCAGTATATTGTTTTTTGAACAACCCTATAAATATTTTATAATCATCAACAATCCATTGTTTTTGAACACTGCTCAATTGGTAATTCAACAGCTTTAAACCCATCGAAGAATGGATGATTTCCAGGGGATAGCGCCATTTCCGCCTAGCTGCAGGTGCCGCAGCAGCGCCACTTGCCGCTCGACGCGTTCCTCGAACATCACGTCGTCGGCATCGAAGCGACAGAGGAACCGACCTCGCCATGGCGTATATATAGCCCCAGTATAAGACATATCCCCGACTTATATTAATGGATATTATTGGGATTAATTGGATATTAATGGGATTAACTATATATGGGTTATAAACTATGAACTATATGAAACAACTTTGATATAAATTGATATACATATACCGATCGTAAACCCAAGAGTTAACTCTACTTAACCTTAGTTCATCTTAGTTAATCTTAGTTATTCTGTGTTATTCTTACTTAACCTTACATAACCTTACTTAACCATAAACCTTATCATTATCCACCAGGAGGCGCAAGTGGTTTAGAATTCGGTGATGTTCCCCATGTTGGTTGCTTTGGAACTTCCATTAAATAGTTAGATAAAGTTAGATATACTGGTTGGTGGTGCAATAACCATCTTGAAAAATATGAAAGTCAATGGGAAGGATAACATCCCATATATGAAATGGAAAATAAAAGCCATGTTCCAAACCACCAACCAGCATATAATTTATCTACCGTAAATCCTAGCTAACCTAAACATACCAACTTATTCAACTCGGGGGCATCAAATTGTATAACTCCAGTTATATACTTGTGGGGAACCACCGAGTATGTTTCAAATTAACGTTTATACCAAATTCTAATAAATCCACATTTCACCACTAGAACTAGACTGGAAATTTAGGGGCATACCACGTTCTGCGCGAACACACATGTTTTTTTTTGCAACCCAAAGACACCCAATTAAATTTTCTGGACCATATGGAGTTTATTGGAGTTTTGGGAAACACACCTAGTGATCTTCATCACATCATTCTTTCCGCAACATGTTTTGGGATGTTTCGCAGGTCAAACAACAACAGCAAAAACATTGGGGGTCTTCAACGGAGACTGGTGGGTTGGAATATCCAACAAAAACGCAGCATCCAGCGGAATCCAGCGTGTAAGTTCTCATTTGGCATTAGAGCTCGTTTAACATCTTGGAAAAATCCCATCCCCTTAAATATGAAACACCCCCTCAATAGTCCCCAAAATGAGAAAATCCCCTACATCCACCATTATTTACGTGAGGGTGTTTAAGGATGGGGGGTTTGGGGGGATTGGATCATTGAGTGACTAATTAGTCTAGGTCACTGCTAATGTGATTGGCATTCGTGCAGAGCGAGCCACTCCGGCGTTGGATGCCCAGGTGATTGGATTATTGTCCGTTTATTCCGTTTATCAATGAGCGATTTGGCATTGGAGCATTGGACTGCATCCCTTGGCCTTCCATAGGCATCTCCTCTGGTGGAACTCCACGGGGCGGATCCGCAGTGCCCGGACCCGATATCCACGCCACATGGTCTGGATCTTTGCGGCCTATGGATCCTAACTCGGATGAGGATCAGAAATCCAGGCGACCTCCCGGCAGTCACCATGCAATTGAAATCCAAGACCATTTAGCCTTGTCCTCTTAAAAATGGAAGCACAAATGGGCCAAAAAGATCCAAAAAGCAGCTTGCTGTGCCAGCCTCGAACATAGACATAGATCAACATTTAAGGCCCCTACAAATAATGCGTCATCATTCCTACTTGCTGATGCTCCCGCAAAAAGAAAACAAGGTGGGTACAAAAAAGGACTAACTCTACCCACACCTGCCGTACTTATAATTGCATAGGGGATATCTGGGATAACTTATTATAACCCACTTGATTAATGGGCAGAAGTACCAGGACACCAGCCGTCTCGCGGACCTCTGCTCTGACGGATGGCGCTGTTGCATGCGAATCCTCGGCAACGCGAGGCCAGGTGAACGAACCCACCCTCGTCTTAGTGAAATAGAGAAAGGGGAGGATAGGGGAGGATAGGGAAGAGCACCCATGGAAGCTGAGTTGGTTGATAACTTTAGCGGGGCACATCATTGTGGCAACATGTAGCGGGGCACATCATTGTGGCAACATGTAGCAATTGCAACTGTAACCCGTTTTAATTGGTCTTTGCACATGATCATCCCAAGACTTTCCTGCTTTGACCCGCACTTTTACTTGAACATCTTGAAACTAGGCAACCAATTGGGCATATCAAGAGTTGCAAAATCGATTTGCTTCGTTGTTCCATCATTGTTGCATATTCGAACGCAACGTTTTAAACCGACCCAAACTGGTTCTAGCCCAAGGAGGGGTAGGTTCTACTAATATTTCTGGTTCTAAACCCAAGATCGGATTTCCAACTTAAGCATACTTAAGCCCATTCTACCCAAGTTTGAGGATTCAAGTTCACTAGTTGTTGCTCCCTTCAGGCCTTAACTTTGCGTAGCGATAATCACATTGTGTTTCTTGTCTGCTCAAATTACCCAGCCAGAAGCCACTTGCAGGATCATACCACTAACTGGTTGGTAGCAGCATGCTTTCTATCTACTTTGGATCAGGGGAATGATAAACCACCAAACAGTGGACCAAGGTGCCAATGCCGCATGGCATGCCACTGCCGCCACTGCCACCAGCGCTGCCCGCCACTTTGGGCACTTGTCTGCGACGGTCATAGGCTGCGCGGCGTTTGGCTTGCCACTCGTCCTACCGGAGCAGTGAAACAGGCGCTGAAGGCGGAGAAAAAAATGGGTGTTAGACCACCTATAGGAATTCGTGAATATCATAGATTATTCAGCAAATTTCCATATTTTTATATTGTTATATAATTATATTGTTCTATTCTCTCGCTCTCGCACACTGAATTTTTCACTTGAGGTGGCCCAGTCAAGCCGCGATTCCTTTCGCTGACTCACAGCTGCCACTGAAGCTAAGATCCAAAGCACTGGTTGATATCAAATTCATCGCGAAACCATGCCATCTTCTGCAGACTCACCGGATTACTGACGTGGAAGTGACAGCAATGGAATATATCGCCATCGTGCCACCCGGTACATTGACAGTGCTCACCATCCAACAATTCACAGCCTCAAAAATATCTCATGGTGTTCTCACTTCCCCTTTAAAAACTTTAGTATCTTATGATTGAGTTGATTCCTGGGCATGATGTTCCATTAAGGCAACCTTTCAGGAAAAATCCAACAAGATTCCCATTAAAATTATGGAACTATATTAAGTGGTATCTCATTCACAGATTGATAGAACATATTATAACTGCAATAGTTTTTAACATGTATTTCTGTAATGTATGTATATATATATATATATATTTGCACATAATGGCACATAAACATTGATAATAGAATATATGATATGTACATACATACATACATACATACATACATACATACATACATACATACATACATACATACATACATACATACATACATACATACATACATACATACATACATACATACATACATACATACATACATACATACATACATACATACATACATACATACATACATACATACATACATACATACATACATACATACATACATACATACATATACATACATACATACATACATACATACATACATACATACACATACATACATACATACATACATACATACATACATACATACATACATACATACATACATACATACATACATACATACATACATACATACATACATACATACATACATACATACATACATACATACATACATACATACATACATACATACATACATACATACATACATACATACATACATACATACATACATACATACATACATACATACATACATACATACATACATACATACATACATACATACATACATACATATACATACATACATACATACATACATACATACATACATACATACATACATACATACATACATACATACATACATACATACATACATACATACATAACATTACATACATACCATTACATACATGCATACATACATACATACATTACATACATCCATACATCCATGCATGCATGCATGCATGCATACATACATACATACATACATACATACATACATACATTACATACATGCATGCATGCATGCATGCATGCATGCATACATACATACATACATACATACATACATTACATACATACATACATACATACATACAAAATCATACAAATACATCTAAACATTATCATTATGGAAACAACAAATCCCTGAAGAATAATGAAGACCTACCAAACACCGAAGCCCTTCAAGTCTCCCTTCAACTTCCTTGGGGAGCTGCAAGCAGCTCTCGCAGTAGCTGTTGCTGCTCTTCTTCTTCGATCGCAAATCCTCTGCAAGGAATCCAATGGAAGGTGCAAGGATGGTCTCATGATTCAACGACAATGTAATGGGATGTAGCTAGCCAACAATTAATATATTGGCAACAGTGGGAAGGTTTTTTTTTTTTACGGTGATATTGGGGATTTTTTCCGAGGATACAATGGGTCTACCAACAGGCCAGGTGCCATCGGATGGGCTAAAAAAATGCCCCATCCACAACTGGGTATTCCGTACCCAAGTCAACCCTAGTGAAGTGGGGAACAAGTTCTCCAATGGATATGGGAAATCCATGGTTTCCTGAGGATCGCGATCCACAAAGAGTGGATTTTGCAGATTTTCTGGAGGAATATTGGAAGAACAGGCTCCGGTGCCCATCAGTGTGGTCATCACCCCAAAGAAGAAAATCTGGGGATCCCCTTGGCTTTGTGCCTTCCTTAGGGATCATCCGCTAAGCAAACCCTGGATGTCCATAGATATTTAAAGTGAAGATCCATCCTATCCCCAGTGAGTTCCCATGGGAAAGAGATTATAGTCCCGTTTGACTTTTTACATATCAAAAGTTCATCCACTTTTTTCCCCATTTACCATAATAAATCCGTGGTCAATATCCACTCTGGCATCCCCAACCATCTGTATGGAAAATCCAGCATGTGTAGATTCTATTCCTCAGGAAACCATGGATTCTCCACGTCCATCTGAAAAAAAGTCCCATGAAAACTTCAATCTCACGACTTGGGTGTCGAATAAACATTGGCTTTGCCATGCTTTGCCCAAATCTCCCAACTCCTAGCCCAACTCCAATCTTGTTGGTTCTATATACATCTGTATACCCTTTTTGCCAATTCCCAATAAATACTTATGATGTATTGCCATCATATCGGTATTCTTTTAGCTTATTTGTTCCCATCAGAATAATTCACCAACCTGAAGTTCAGCCATGTGGAATCGATTCCCCTGACTAAATCCCATCGTGATATAAACCAGTATAGTCCCAAGAATGCCATTTTTACTAGACCATTAGAATCTCCATGAATCCCAATTCAAGCATCAAAAATTCGGGTCAGATCGACATATCCCCCATCTGCCCATCCCAGCATGTCTGTCAAATCTGCCCATCCCTAACCCAACTCCCCCTAGATAAATCCCATGAGATCAATTGAGATCATATCCCATGATGAAACCATCATATCCCCACTCAAACATGATATTCCCGTCATATTCTCATCGAATGGGGGTTTCTTAAAATTGGGGATCCAATAGAAGTCACAGGTTTCAATCCAAAGTCATGGTCTAAATTGGATGATTTTGGGGTACACCCATGACTTGGGAAACCTCCATATGGGTTTGTCGGAAGATCCATTGGTTCCATTTTCCATACTAAATCCATAGCTTAATCAATTCCTATGGATATATGAAGGGAAACTGATGGATGATCATGTTAAAAACTATATGGTTACATAAATATATATATATACATATATATATATATACACATATATATATATTTATTTTGTGTTATTATCTACTATAAATCCATAGGTTAACCGGCACTCATCCCACCACTCCTCCGGGGCTTTCCGTTGTCCACAAAGGCTGCAGCTCTGTCGAGCCTCGTCGCCGAACAGGCGCGCCACGTTGGCGCCGGCGGTGAAGGTCAGGGGGTCCTTACGGCGACCGGGAAAACGGCAAAACCTCGGGAAAATGGGCACCCAAAAGTGGAAGCTTGAGCAACAGAAAAAACTGGGATTTTACCACCCAAAATGTCCTTGGTGGCCAGCCAACACAAAACAAAAACATGCACATGCGGATTTATTCAGCAAGAAGTGTGGAACATGTTAGCTTTCATCAGCAGAAGTTGGAACCACATTGGATTTATCAAGCACAAACAAGAGAGAACAAAAGGTGTAAGATGGTTCAAGCAACAAACAAGAACAAGTTTGGGCTCCTCACCAGCAAGAAAAAAGAGAAAACATGATCTGACCAGAAGCAAGTGTCTTGAGCAGCCCAAAGTGGGCAATAAGAGTCCAACGTCGTGATTTGAGCATTAAATTAATTAAGAATGTTGTTAGAGGCAACCAAAAATCCACAAAAGAGTAGGGGTTCGATCGAAGCGAGAAAAACATGAAAAATTGAGCAGCAGAAAACAACAAACATATAACAAATGTGCGGCTTGACCAAGCAAACCATTGGAGATTGAACCAACGGACACCATTGTCGACACTTGGGATATAGGCTACTGACAAACTTATGGTTTATCTCTCGGGGAATGGGGGACACTTGGTCAACATTGGGATGTTGTTCCGGGCATGTTCTGTTCTGTTTCACCAGCCAAAATGGAGAGTTCACCAGCCCACCATCGTTGTCAACATTGGGGCCAATTGATGTAGATATGGAAAACCTATCCTAATTATTTCTTATTCTTTGCAGATCCTCCAAGGGAAACTATCAGTTTTCCGAATTACTGGAACCTGAAGACAAGCACACCATTCGCCACAGTAGTGGGTTCACCCCAAACACCGCTGCGTTTTAAGTGATGGCTTTTTTAAGCCAACCGTCATCCATGACATCCGGAGACAAACCTATTCTGTCTGTGGAATCTATATCATATATACATATATATAACATTTATTTATATATATATATCATATCGTTGGATAACTTGTCATGTGAACATGTAAACAACCATTAAGGCCAGTTTCCGTTGCATCATGTTCCCATAGTGCATTAACATGCATTACTGTGATAACTGTGATATTTCATAGTCCTCACTAAACCAAATGAAATTCAGCAAAATTGGCAGCCATCAGGACGTTGCCGGGTTTAGATACCCTGCAACAGCCATATGTTGTTTGCTAGTTTGTATATTACATACCATTTATGGCGTCAAAGTAATGTCAATCCCGGAAAAAAAACAACCTGACGAAAAAGATGATGGCTTCGCCAAAAAAAGTCTTCAACATTACTTGTCATTACTATCAACATTTGTACCCCTCCCCCTTAACAAACTGCGGGTTTTCACAACATCCCAAGTCTCTGGATAGGCCGCGCACAGCCGGTCCCTCCATCGCTCCACCACCGCAGCACTGCTATCGCTGCTGCCGTCATCGAAAACGGAGACCTAACGCAAAGGGTGGCTGTGATCATGGCCAATCTTGAGGCTACCCTCTGGCAAACATACAAAAAACTATGGAAAGATCCACCATTTTTAATGGGAAAACTCACTATAAATTGCCATTTTCCATAGCTAGGTTAGTCTACCAGAGG